TGCATTTTGGACTACGGCAGGGCTCCCCTTTGTCACCTCACAAGTGTTGGGTAGGGTCCAGTTTGGGAGCCATCGGATTTCATCTCTGCTTTTTGTAGATGATGTTGTCTTGTTGGCTTCTTCGAGCCAGGACCTGCAGACTGCACTGGGGTGGTTTGCAGTTGAGTGTGAAGCCGCTGGGATGAGAAAAGGCTTTCACCCGTGTCCCTCGTGGTATTCTGTGGGGGGTGCTCCGAGAGTATGTGGTCGGGTGCCCTCTTCTAAGGGCTGTCCGGTCCCTGTACAAACGGAGTAGGAGCTTGGTTCGCATTGCCGGCAGTAAGTCGGACCTGTTCCCAGTGCATGTTGGACTACGGCAGGGCTGCACTGCACTGGGGTGGTTTGCAGTTGAGTGTGAAGCCGCTGGGATGAGAATTAGCACATCTAAGTCCGAGGCCATGGTTCTCGACCGGAAAAAGGTGGTTTGCACCCTCTGGGTTGAGGAGGAAGTCCTGCCTCAGGTGGAGGAGTTTAAGTATCTTGGGGTCTTGTTCACAAGTCATAGTAGGACTGAACGTGACATTGACAGGCAGATCGGTGCAGTATTGGTCCGTTGTGGTCAAGAAGGAGCTGAGCCGAAAGGCAAAGCTCTCAATTTACCGGTCGATCTACGTTCCTACCCTCACCTATGGTTCTACCAGAATCCCGTTCTTTTGGTCATGACCGAGATCCCGGATACAAGTGGCTGAAATACAGGGTGGCAGAGCGCTCCCTTAGAGATAGGGTGAGGAGCTCTGTCACACGAGAGGAGCTCGAAGTAGAGCCACTGCTCCTCCACATCGAGAGGAGTCAGCTAAGGTGGCTTGGGCATTTACATCGCATGCCCCCCCGGACGCCTCCCTCTGGGAGGAGACCTAGGGGAAGGCCTAGGACATGCTGGAGCGACTACGTCGCTCGGCTGGCCTGGGAGCGCCTTGGGGTCCCCCCAGAAGAGCTGGAGGAAGTGTCGAGGGAGAGGGAAGTCTGGGTGTCCCTGCTCAGACTGTTGCCCCCCGACCCAGCCCCGGATAAGCGGTTGATGATTGATGGATGGATGGATGAATGGATGAATGGACTGTTTATTCAGTTCATTTTCAGCCAGTTTAACATTACTGTAAATGTTATTTATAAGCAGGCTTTAAAAAAAATTTAAATCAAAAGAAAGAAAAGATTCCTCCCACTGTTGGGTTCATTTACATCTGGACAGGTGTGTCCCACATAGCTTCCTGGTTTCAGTGTTTATATTTGCATGAAACATCAACAGCTCCATTGTTGCTTTACCAGCGTAGAGGTCATTTTGTTTACTAATAATACAGTTTCAGTAGATGAGGAAGTTTGATGAAAAACCCCAGCGCAGAGATGAAGAGCGTGGTGAGTATATGCAAATAGTGAGTGTGTGTGTGTGCGTGTGTGTGTGGATATCTCTGTAATGTAATGAAATACATATATATATTTAATAGTTTCTATTCATAATATATATTGTACAATTTTAAATTATGGAAAGCAAACATATAAATGAATGTACATATATTGGGTGAACCATGGAGCATGGAAATACTACGGTACTGTGTTGTGTGAACAAAGACTGGCTTTAATTATGATGCCAGTTTCCACTGCAGCCCAAAAACCACAGGGTTGAGGAGGTCAAGGGTGAGGTTTTAGGAGTGAGGTGTTATCTCATGTTGTTGCACATTTGTCATGGTGAATGTTATCACAATCATAACAACAGTAAAGCTTCTGCTTTACTGTTGCTCTTACATTAAAAGCTAAAGTAGCATTTGATTTTAAATGACAGGACACACTTTTTTTAATTTACCTGATATTTCAGCTTTCCATCTTCATGAAGTCGTAGTTCATGCTGTCGCTCAAGAGTGTCTCCATAAATGTTACTGGCGTCCACCTGAGAAAGTCAGTGAAAATCCAAACATTACATTGGTGAAAATTGTTAATGTCAAAAACACATCACCTAAAGAACCTTTCATTCTTATCGGTGACATTTTATGTATTGTACTAATTACAATCGTCCCTCGCTGTATTGTGGTGCATCCCAGGTATTAAATATTTTAAATGTGTTCTTGTATTGAAGATTTCTTTTAGTTTTTCCAAATATTTTCATTATTTCCGTGATAAAATAAGCATTTTCTAACCTAAGAAGAAAAAAAAAAACAGTAAAAAAAAAATAAATGAAAGGACATTTTGTAACACATACTGTACATACAGGGTATTGCAAGAAATAATCTGTACGTATGGGTAAGATTTGTGAAAGTTTCATTAAGTTTTTTTGCCATATTTCACACCCTACGAGTGCTCCTAAAGCATTGTTTCCAAAAGACTGGGTCACGAGCCTCAGGTGGGTCGCAAGAGATGTTTTTTTGGGTCGTCTCACATCATGTTTCCCAGGAGTTCATGAATAATTTCTACTGACTTGGGTCGCGAAGGTTTGTGACTTTAAAATATGGGTCCCCAGAAAAAAGTTTGGGAAACACTGTCCTAAAGGGTTCGTAAAGGGTTAATATATACGTAAATAATATAATAACTATCGCATTGCTCCTTTGCAGTTTTTCGCCTATCGCAGTCTGACTGATAATATTTTCCATGTACACTGACTCACCCCGTGTCCTAGTCCTTTGGTGAAGCCAGCATCCCTTCCATGGTCAGTCTTAAAAAACTGGTGGGTAAAATGCTGGGCCATGAAGGCAAACATCAAATTGGTTCCCTGAGGATCGGGTCTGAACTTTATTCTTTTGAAGAAACGCTGCGTTAATACTTTGGGATCAGGCAGAACAGGTGTACCTGGAGAAACAAAGAATTACCAATAACACTGGATTTCCACCTGTTTCACATTCAACCCTCCATGTGATTGTACAACATGAGGTGTCACCTTTAGATCCCATGGGTAAAGGGCAGTCTTCAGGTACAGGCGGTAGGAGGCGGGTGTAGTATGTGATGTTGTAGTAAGACTCCCAGCTGAGGTATCCATACTTGGTGTTGTAGGTGGGAGGACTGGGGATGAGGTCACTTCTGACTTTGGGAGAAAAAGGATTTATTTTACTTTAGGTTTACACAGCTATCCCAATGACAGTCGTCATTTCCGGTCTATAAACCACTACTTTTTTCATACGCTTTGAACCCGGTGGCCTAAACATTGATGCGGCAAATTTATGGATTTTTACGGGCTAGCAAAATTCATACCACTATACTAGCATATGTCTAGCATATGTCTTTCAGTGAATGGTTGTGTGCGTATATGTGTGTGGAGCGCACGCGTGTGAGAAAAGCTAGCGAAAGTTGAGAACAGTTTGAACCATGTCATTTTGTACCGTGACTTTGTTATACAGGAGCTGTTAAAACGCTGTTTATGTTCTGTTGTGCTCGGTGTGGCTGGTAATTAACTTCCCTGTTTCTGTTTGCTTCTACTGCAAAGTGAAGGGAGTTAGCCCCGGAGCTAAAAAAAAAAAATATTATGTAAATATCCCATGTTACAACGTGTGCACCTGTGACTTGGTCTTTATATGTACAACTATTATTATTATTTATTTAGTGGGTGTGGCCTATATTCAGGTGCGCTCAGTAGTCTGGAAATTACGGTATTTACATTTTGTTTAAAATTCAGAACTCACTGATCTGATTACGGTAAAAAAAACTGTTGGCTGGATTTAATCAGTTCTTTATACCAAGAACATAGAGGCCAGAGTGAGGTCATGATAACACTCACCTTACAAAGGAAACTGAAAAAAGAAGCAGTTCCTTCCTGAGCTGTTGCATCATTTACAGAGATCACATACAGATATTCAAAATGAAATATTTGCACTTCTTACTTTCATCAAACGTGTGCGTGGGGGTGTGTGCGATCAAGCATGGCTTACCTGTCAGTACAATTCGCATGATGGTGTCCTGCAGAAAAGAGTTGTTGACTATGTTCCAAAACCACTGGAAGTTGGTGAGGATGTAATGAACCACATGAGGCAGCAGGAGGTACACTCTGGTCCAGAACTCAGCTGCACACAGGAAACACAGAAAAACTCTGTCCTAACAACTTTACTTGACTTTATTTGACTTGACTTTATTTTCAGGGGACATGCTTGACAACAACACATTCAGTCCACTTACGGACAGTGCAGTTTTTCCCAGTGTGGCCCGTGCGGGTGCAGTCGCACTGGTAGCCATCTGAACCAAACCTCACACACACTCCTGCGTTCTGGCATGGATAGTTACAGCAAGGATTCACTGTGAAAGACAAACGGAGGTCGTGTTCAACTTGATCATTGACAAACGATGACTGTAATGACTAAATATTTAAAGGTCAACAAAAAACGTTCTCTATTTCTAATGATGGGATCTAAAGGTCAAACTAGAGCTGAACTTTGACCTCCAAATGACATTTGGGGGCTTTCTAACAGCTGTCAACAGATTGGTGGTTGATACGACACCAAGTTCTTTAGCATTGTGCTAACACATAATGTCACTGCTACACACCATTCTAGAGAGCCTTATACTGAAGACTATCTATAGTTTATCACTGGTCTATTTTCTGACTTCCTCTTTTTAACGCACACAAGCAGACTCCGGGTGAGATAACATGAGTCGGCAGTTTTCTTCTGTTCTGCAAGCATTGAATTGAGCGATAAAGTCTGCTCTTTCACAGAATTGAATTGAATAGAATTGTTTCTCTAAAACAGGCTTTTGATTTATTTTTTGTTTTTACAAGTATCTGTAGTATTCATGAATGATGAGAAGTTTCAGTGCAGTACAAGCTACTGTGAGTATTTAGAAAACGTATAACTTAATAAACTTATAACAGTAACGGAAAAATAACATTTTGTGACACATTTGTATGTTTTTTTTGTTTGTCTACTTTATTTGACCCTGAGCGACAGCTGATAAATTATAGAACCACTCCCATCACATTAAATCTTTAGAACAATGAAAAATATACAGTCTAAAATATAATGTAGTATATTAAACAGAGTTTATAAATTACATTTACATATATTTGGGAAATTGTTATATTTCTGTATACAATGTCAATCAATAAAATCTATCAATAAAAGGAATTAAAAATGTAGCTTATGAAAACATTGCAATAGGAATTAATATACATCTCTGTATGTTTTTCTTTTTTTTTTTAATGAAAATAAATAATTCAACGTATAATATTGCTAATTGTGTCATAGGGTTGCACTCACCAGTGTTTGAGTCACCAACACACGGTGAAATCTGCAGCAGCATCATGTTGATGTAGAACCAGACGCAGAAGATACGAAACACTTCACAAAACATACAACAGCGAAACATCAGGACTCGCAGTAAATGCAGTAATCGCTTTATATACTGCAGTTAAATCAATAAAATATTGTCGTTGTTTCTTACCACTCATGACGTCAAAACGTATCTCATCGAAGGATGGGAGTGATAGAAAAGAAAGTTAAAATCTTTAAACGAAAGAAGAAAAAAATAAAAAATACTTAATTCCCCAGTGTTACTTTCTAATACCAGTAACATGCAGCGGTCCAGCGTGCTTTATCGGTCTGTAAATGGGTGGAAACATTTTCGCCACTTCCTTTTTCAAGATTTGAATATGAAGTATAATGTAATATTTGAATATTATTGACATGAGTAATTTTGACCGGGTCGTTTTATTTTCATACGATTTTTTGAAGCGTGTAATTTCTTATTGGTGTTTATTTTTTTATTTTATTTTTGTGTGTGTGTGACTTGAAACCTACGATTTGGGTAAAAACTCACTTTAGCGAAGCTTTGCAGTTTTTTTATCTCCACCTGGTGGCAGGAAATACAATTACGTTATAATAACGAAGGCTTAAATTATGAGGTTTAAAATAAGTACTGTAACTTTACATTAAATAAATTTGATAGGACAAAAAAAAAACAATATTTCTCAGAAGTCTAGAACGTTTTATAGTATACATCGGTGTAATTAAATCGACTTATAGTTATCAGATTGTAAAATTATTATTATTATTATTATTATCAGGGCACGATCGTACAAACCACCTAAAGCGGTCAAAAATATTAAAGAAAAATAAATAAATAAAATGAGTCACTTTAGTCATTGCGACACAAAAAAGTTTTTTTGACATAGGAACATTTATTTAACGAAGCAAAAAACATTGCACTTGGTTTTCTTAATCTGTAAACTTACATGTGCTTTTTAATGCAATCCAGCAGGGGGCATTAGGTAGCTGTTCGCCCCATCTTTAAATGTCTCAGCTGAAAAAACAAAAACAGGCATGTGAGGATAGAGACAAGTGCGTCATTTATATGACTTTTTTCCTTACTAGTAAAAATACACAAAATGGTTACTAGAGTCATTAGAAAAAATAAGTTTTTTCAATAATATTTTTAAAACGTATTCTGCTCTATTTTTTATATACATTCAATATAATATTTTTGCTGTATAAAAATGCATTTCCCCCTTTAAACAGGGGTTTCCTTGGAGGATATTTGTAATTATAATTTATTGTAAAAACGTTATTTTTTTCTATTCTGTGTTGGTTGTTTTGTGATGCTGAAGAACTGTGTCATACATATGCTGCTAAGTACAAATTAAGCCATTCTGGGGTCAAAGGTCATCTTAAATGTGTCTCACCCATTCATTCAACTCACATGACCTTTGACCTCTAGGTGCCATCAATGAGCCAGAGGGTTGTAGTGTCAGAATCCAGTTTCTGTAATAAATTAGACCTTTTATTTGTGTGAAAATCAAAATATAAATATTAGACCACAATATTAGATCATATTAGACAACCAGGACAAGGAGAAGGTCTGAGTTCTTTATTTTCTATAATGTAAATGGGAAAATTGTCACATTTGTAGAAGACTAACGACGCCATTTACAATCCACTCCTCATGTGGCATCAATTGAGATTTTAATGCTGTGTAATGTGAAACACAGCAACACTGCTGACGTCTGTGCTGTGAGGTACTCCAGTACTGCCGTACTAGTTGACAAGGTCACCCAATAAAAGTCAGCCAATAAAAAATCACCATCCTTACAAGTGTCTCTGTTCTTGTGCATGTTATCGACAGAAGTCGTTCGGATCTAGAAAACACGTCCGTCCCCCTGTTCTTCTTATAGGACGAGTATCAGAAACAGACACTGGGATTTTTATCTGCAGAAGTAATTCTCTTGAATAATGTCTTACACACTGTAGCAATTTCAAGACTACAACTGGCCTGTACTGCACACATGGAGATAAGAGAAAATCTTGACTGAACCATGCTCAGCTAATCCCTTTCAAACTTCCAGGATTTTTTCCTAAATTGTCCTTGCCTCTTTGAAGTTGTATATTGTGTTACTGAATATGCAGCACAGGCAACACAGAGTCATTTGTTTCCACTGGCCTTTTTTTTTTTTTTTTTAATTTCTACCAATCACATACTTGATTTTCAGCTCACTGTGTCCTCTCTAACTTTGAAATCATCCCAGTTTTGATTAAATGTCGGTAAATGGCTGGGTTCGCCACATCCGCAATGATATGGTTTCTTTTCCATTTTCTGTCATCTTTGAAGAAGCCTACACTTCTGTCCCGGCTCAGGCTGTTGTCACTCTGGGACTCTGCTGCAGAATGAACTTGCCAAGTTTACGCAGTGTGTTTAATTTTAGGACAGGGAGAAACTGCAGCTGGTACTGTATCTACAGGAACCAGTCGTCGTCTTGCAGCTTGACTCTGACTAATTGATATTATGACTACAGTCCCAGAGATTTTTAAAGAAAAATATATAAACATGTTTTCCTGAACGTCAGTCCTTTCATCGCTCATCACCGGACGTTGGTTCTAATAATAACAGAGCCGACTGAGCTGCAGCTTCAAACAGCAAACTTGATTTGAATTACATTCTGTTTCCGAGACATGATTGATATGAAAAAGAATGGGACGCATCGGGAACTCATTATCGAATCATTATTTCCCGCCGTACAAGTGCCTGAGAAGGAGTTCTCTGGGCTCGTACATGTGCTGTCGGCCGCCATGCCCTGCCATACAGGCCCAGCCTCAGAACTTCCTATAGCATTCACGCTAATTGAGATCAGATGGTTCTCCAGAGTGGAACCTGGACTGGGAGTAACCTGGAAGCATTTATTTTATGGAGAAGATGTTTAGTTAAGCCATGCTCCTGCTTCAAATGAACCTCGCTCCCCGGGTCTGGTGATGAATACGATTGGTGAAAGCACTAAAGGCTAGTTTTTGGACTTCTTCCTTCCCCTGGATCGGATTACAGATTAGCAGACTTCCTGTCCAGTTGTGGAACACGCCGGTCTGACGGTTCCAGGGGCAGCAGCCGTGCATGGCGTTGGAATCATGTGTTGTCTCAGATGAGGTTCTGACAGAGCCACACAGCAGTCACCTCCTTAAACCCAGGACCACCAGGTACATTTGTTAAACCTGTGACTGGAAGCAGCTGATGGGAGGTGGGAGGAGGAGAGACCTCCTTTGGAGTCAGCTGGTGGTCCACATGAACTCAGGTTCTACCTACATTGGGCATAAAAGACATACACGTCATACTAATACTGATGTCATACTTTTGTAGTACCATGATTTCTGGACTATTGAGCTCACCTGAATATAAACCACATCGACTAATTTTAAAAATAAAAATAAAAAATTGTACATATATAGGCCACACTTCTCTATAAGCTACAGGTGTCCATGTTGTAACATGGGATATTTACACAGAAAGATTTTTCTTTCCACTTTTAATTAAATAAATGTTTTTTTTTCCTGACACTGCCTGTAACACGGCTGGTTACACGTTAGCTCTTTCCTGCTTCTGTGCCCTGGCTGCTCCACAGCCAAAGCTAACGTTAGCTCCGGGGTTAACTCCCTTTACTTTGTGCTTGTCCACAGCAGAGGCAAACAGAAACAGAGAAGTTTATTATTAGCCACTCTGAGTACATACAACAGAACATAAACAGTGTTTTATCAGCTCCTGTATAACCAAGTCACGCTTCAACATGAAAGGGCTCAAACTGCTCTCAACTTTCGCTAGTGTAGACAGACATACGCTAGTACTATGACACGTAGTAGCCTACCAGGAAAGGCACTGATCGCTAGCGGTATGAACTTCGCTAGCCCGTAAAAATCCATAAATTAGCTGCATCATTGTTTAAGTCGTTAAGGTAAATTATGGTAGTTTCTTCTTCTTCTTCTTCTGGTTTGTTATACCAGTCTTCTTCTGAGCACATCAAGGGTTTTTTTTAAAATGCAGGCTGTCATTAAATGTTTCTCTTCATAGTTGATCCCATTTTCTGCTTTTTGGATTTGGACTCAGGACAAGTGGATCTGATTATTCCATACTCAAGTCATCATTTCTCTTTTCCAACGATTGTCATTAAATTAAATGCATTTTTTTTATTCTGGCACATCCAGGACATTTTACCTGCTTTCATCCAGGATTTTTTTTTACAGGTTCTCTATCACATGATATACTTTATGTGTTTTTTTTTTGGACTCTATAAAAGGTCAACTTGACATTTTCGTGAAGCTGCCAGGAGCTGAGCCAGGCATCTGTTGGACTTTGTCTAATCTCTCAATAGAGAAAATGCAAGAAAGGACTTGGTTTTAGGTCCTTTTAAACCTTTTTTGTCCTGCAGGTATTTAACTCTCCTGATATAATGACATCCAATAATATTCATTTTCCACAGAATCACTTCCCAAAGTAATAAATCTATACTGAATTATTGATTTTTAGTGAGTGTTTTTTGATCTGTGTTTAAAGGAAATAGTAAAACACACACACACACTGATACTGCATGTGTGAATGTGCCATAAATCAGTGTTTCCCAAACCTTTTTTCTGGGAACCCATATTTTAAAAGCCACAAATCTTTGCAACTCAAGTCAATAGGCATGATTCGTAAACTCCTGAGAAACAAAAAACCGCTTGCGACACACCTGATGATCGCGACCCAGTCTCTGAGAAACAATGCCATAAATGATACAACATTATCCTTTATGCCAGAGTCCTGAGCATTAATACTCTAAGTATTTCTTTACTTTGAATCTATTGTTGGTCAGTAGACAGCACTTCTTGACTGAAGACAGTAGGTGGAGATATCTGAGGAGCGCTCATCACCACCTCCTCAGTAGAGTGGTTATATTTAGACCCAGTCA